CTCACACTGGGGGAGAGTCGTAGAGAGAAATATGTATATATATATATATATATATATATATATATATATATATATATATATATATATATATATATATATATATATATATATATATATATATATATATATATATATATATACTTCAGACCAGTGTTAATGTCAACTTTGATAAAAGAATATTAAAAGGCATTCAGGTGCGTTTTTGTGCGTAATGAATGCGTGTGTGGTGCCATATTGCAATGAGAGCCCATATTGAAAGTTAAAAAAATAATAATTTTCATTCTCAGACTGGAGCAGACCGTAGTCGGTAATGTGTAATATTATATATACTTCAGAGCAGTGTTAATGTCAACTTTGATAAAAGAATATTAAAAGGCCCCCAGGTGTGTTTTTGTGCGTCAAGAATGCGTGTGTGTTGCCCTATTGCAACGAGAGCCCATATTGAAAGTTAAAAATATGAATTATCATTACATAATTCGGGCTCACATGAGCAAGTAACATAAACCTATACATATAGTACATAGCAGTGTAAATGGCACCTTTATCTAAACGGTACGTAAAAATACCAGACCTAAAACGATGTCAGCGATTTGAATAAATCGGAGAGGAATTGCGTCATTTTAATTCAAGACACGATTGAAGGTTTCATTATTGCCGCGTCTCAGGCTAATTTCTCACATAGAGAGAAAAGTTTAACACTAGAAATATTTTCCAATCGGACCATAGCTGAAAACAAGTATACTACACTACAATTGTACAATTTTGAATGCTCATTTTACGGCAACAAACAAGATTGCCTTTACCACATAGGGCATTTTGAATTCCTCCTTGAACAAACATATCAAATTCTCACATAGTTTCCAAATTGACAGAACAAATTGTACTAATACTTAATCTCTATAAGTGTATTGTCCCATCCACCCGAAGGATTGACTCACGTTACCGCGAACTACCTGCCCAAATGACACAAAAGGTCATCGACAACTGCGATATGCTCGCTACCTGTACGGGAGGTCACGTGATCCGAACGCACATGGTTTCGCGAAGAGCTCACGTTAAGCCGATTATCCTTTGATGTAGCTCAGCGTTTCATGTCCTTCTCTTATTATGTCCATGATTCTTATAACATAACACAGCTGATGACATTCTTCTCTGAATCGATCTCACTTATTGTAAAAGTGTACTTCCATCGAAATGAACAGAAAGAATATACAGTGTACCGGTATAAGCCAGGCCTATAACAGTTAAGTCCTTCAATGTCGCCGAAACTTAAATTAATAATAATTATAAATGTGTTAACACATGGCAACACAAGGTTGGATATGAATAAAAAATACAAATTAAACAATTTACATAAAAAAGGATATACAACGGACATTGAATGGAGCTCTTTCATATCAGATAAGAGCTACCGGGTGACAGGAGCTAGCGGGCATATATGGGGCTTGACGTCACTAGCACATGTACATGGAATTCTTCAAATGGGTTGCCCAAAGAGTAACAGGTGGGTGTTTATTATCTTCTAGCAGGGTCACGAAGATAAACGTCATTTTTTCGCTACAGTGGAAACATGATTGTGCTTTTCGCAAGCTATGGATATTTCTCTTCCGTGACCAGTGATAATTTATGCACACCAAGTGCGTCATCGACTCAACAAGTCGACCAGCAGTACGAGTTCAAAACAAAGAGTTGAAGGTGAGGAGACTTTTGACCGGCCCTGTCTTGGACGAGAGACACTGTTGTCGTTTTACATCATTTAGATTCACAACATCGAATTCCACAAGCCGGTTCTCCTGTTCGAACGAAGTTTGTAGTCCCATCCAAATATACCGAAGAAGACTACATTTCGTAATACGCCCGGTCAGTAATAGGAACATGTTAGGCCAGGGATTTATCGTTTGAAAACCTCCCGAGGGAAATTACTTATCAGTTCTAAAGTTACACAATGGAGGGGCTTTGACAGTGATGGATGTCTCGTGGACTTTCTAGTTTCCAAATATCGTATCATCTTCGAAGAAGAATATAAAACCACAGGCTCTATCTTTGCGACAGAGCATGCGTGAAGATCCAATCCGGATATCCCGAACATGTCAAGGACAACATTACAATTAACACCGTAAAAGTCACTATACTTTCCCATACGAAAAATTAAAAATAGGCTCTTTACAAGGAGAATATAGACTAGAAGCCGGAGATAATGGATACTATTACAGTTTTAATGACGTCCTCAAAGAGGTCTTTTTAAAAATGAACTGTTTACAATGGATGGCTAATTATAGCACCACAGAGGGATTCATTGACGCTAATGGACAAAGGGACTGATAACCTTCAGGTAGGAACGCAACTCTGTCCCTTATATACATATATGAATAACTAAGATGTTTTGTCATACAATGAAACTGACTCAGGTGAAAAATCGCCCGAGGATTGTACGGTACAAGTACTGGTAGCAGACACAATTGAAAGGTAGGCAGTATATTCGGAGATAAAAGAATATTCTTTCTTTAACAGCAAGGCGAAGGGAAAATCTTGACAGGGCTGTACACAAATAACGTCTAATTGAACATTTGTGATTCACCGACCGTTATTATACTGTTAGTCTATGTGCGCTAGTTTTGTAAGGTAATTACAATAATTTACTGACTATCCCAGTATACATGTGTATTTCTTGACAGACTGTTGTATCCTTTTAAAGGACTGGTACAAGTTCATGTGAACACTGTGACATCACTTGGGGCTAGCTTGATGATTTTTTCTTTGGCTGATTCATATGAAATGCAATTTGTTGGCAGTATAATTCAAAAGGGCATACGAGGACTGTCATAAAGCTACTTCGGATCTTCGACTGGGCCGGCTTGTGAAACACATATACCTCAGATTCTACTCTGTATTTAATAATACATTGACGTGAGTGGCACAGAAGAAACCCAGTATTTAGACACATCAACGCGTCGGACATGGATCAAGGTGCTTCATAATTGAACAGAGAAATCACCCAAGCGTGTTCACTCAGTGAAGCGACGTACTATCTCGTCTTTTGGCGGCCATAGGTCATCGACATTTCACACTAACTTAATGACAGGTTAGCACTCTGTCTGCGATATTTGCTCGGGCCTCGTTATACGGTTTACTGTCTTCTATATATACACCCTCGACGGAAATATGTAGCTTGACCTCCTCCCTATATTGGATTGAGTGAAGAGATTCACGGGCTTAGATTTTATCAACAAATGCTAAGAATGTTGCGTGAAGTATAGAAAACAAGTTTAAAATAAACGACAGACTGCGAGGGAAATAACTCTAGGAAACAACGAAGAAGGAACGATGTACTAGGACGTCTACGTGAAGACCGGATGGGTGTAGAAATATTGGCTTAATAAAATTACCAAGCAGGTTGGGACAACTCGATATAATATCCCAGCTATCATAACAAACAAACAAACAAACAAACAAGGACCACGGCGTCTATAAAACTGGACTAATGTAATAAGGATCGAATCAAGACTAAACGGGACTGAAAGTACGGACAGTTCAACAATATAAGGGCATATTATTCAACACTCTAAACAAAAGTCGCCATGCACAGTGATAATAGCAAATGACTGGATTTTTAGTCCTCAAGTGCACTGTGAGAGAGTAAAATTATTAAAACTGATACATCAACGTCTTTGTTTTTCGGTGCGTCTCGTGATTGAAATAGTGAAAGTGAAAATATTTCAGCAGGAACAACGTCTTCTCGATTGTCTCGGATCAATTCAGGCAGAGATACAAGGGACTGCCTTTAGTGAATATCTGTTACCAAATGACATAACATGGGTTATTGATTATTCAAACATATAACCTAACAGACGCTTGTGACTTAACTATTAGTAGAACTGACAAGTATGATGGAATGATGGTATTATAAACTTGAGGGGTCATTTAGATGAGTGTCGTTAGCCTCAAATATTTATAGACAACCAATCAACGGGAACATCATCGCCAGTACGCCAATCAAGTATTAAGCTCAGAAAAGACATCGCCAGCAATTCACAATACTAATATGGCCCCGAATGACACAAACATGAATATTACCGGGAACTCGAGCGACTCCACGGAGACGGGGACATTGTCCACCTTGGTTCTGACGATCGTGATATGCGAGGCCATCTTAATGGTAGTCATTTGCTGTGGCAACGTTCTGGTCATTGCGGCTTTTTACAGAAACGCGGCGCTGAGGACGGTCACCAACTTTTTCATCCTCCACCTCGCTGTTGCGGATACATGTGTCGGGGCCACGATGCCGTTCCACATCTATATCTTCTTTGATAGACGGATACTAGGGAACATTTATGTTTGTGTGTTTAGGTAGGTTTTAATTTTTTTTTAAATCAAAATCCATGCAGTACAAGCATTCTTTCTTTTGATCGGATTTTCCCCTCTTTCTTTCTTTCTTTCTTTCTTTCTTTCTTTCTTTATTTCTTTATTTCCTTCTTTCTTTCTTCTTCGTTTCTTTTTTCTCTCTCAGTTTCTCCGTGCATCCATTAATTAATTGACTAATTCATTCTGTATTTTCTCTTTTTCCCTCCGTCCTCACGGCCATTCGGGACGACAAAAAATAATAAAATGTGTCTTTACCCGTTGTTTAAGGACAACAGACGATGACGCGGGCTGGTCGTCATTTCACCACCTCTTCACATCGCAACGATATAGGTCTAACGCGCTGGTGCTAACAGTAAACGAAAAAAAAAA